CTGCCGACTCTGCTCTGCCTCTTCGCCTGGCAACTGCGGAAAGGTACGTGACACTCTCCTGCAGGCTTCGCTGCTGGCACAGCCGCCTGTCTGCTTGGCTGCCTGTATTCTGCCCTTCCAGGAGTGGGCACCGTTTGTCAAACTTTACCTCCACCTTACACACGCCGGTGGCAGCGGCAGCCGCCCTCCGTGGCAACGTGGGCACCGTTCGCTGATGGGGGCTGAGTCGGGAGAGATGCGCTGGAAGCCGGTGTGGCTCGGTTTCTGAATAATTCTCAGGTCTTACCTTCCGGGGGTGTCCTTCATTATAATATTCTCTGTGATGCTTGTAATGGTTTCCTTGGCCCTTCTGCACGGAAGGACGCACAAGTTCGCAGCCAAGGTACACGGAAAGCAGGGGAACTTTGCAGCCACTTGGCTCCCGGAGAGGAGTGGTAACCCTTTCTTTTCAGCAGCATCCACGGTTGTGAAACATCAGCCGCGGTGGCACCGGTGACAGCGGCCTGGTCAGTAGCGGCAGCTGCACGGTGTCCCATCTGCGACTGGGAGAAAGAGGAAAGTGAGGCTGCCGCTTCGGAGAGCGCGACTCTGGAGCAGTCTGCAAAGATGCTGCAGGGGGAAAAGGCTCAGGGCTCCCCATGGAGAGTGGCATTGTTTCCTTTTGTGATATGTACGTGCTCACTGACAGGCATGTTAAATTTTTTTCCTTAAAACTTTTCTTTTTTTGACGTAGGATTTTCATTCCTAGATTAGGTGAATGAGTACAGGGCGTCTAGGATAAATATCAGAATCAGTACTGTGAGAGCAAGTGTGCAAGCTTGCAGTGAACAGCCCAGTCCCTTTTTTGTAATTGATCACCTAGTCTGAAATGTATCCTTCCTGCGGATTATGGGCACTTATTTCCCTCCCTCCCTTCCCTTCCCTTCCCTTCCCTTCCCTTCCCTTCCCTTCCTTCGTTTTCAAGAAGTAGGAACTCAGTGAAAAAGAATGTAAAAGTCATTATAAGTTTTCCATCTAACATGTTTGCTCCTTTTGAAGCCACCTGCTGAATTAGTTCGCATTACTTTTTAGAGGTTACCACTTTGTGCAGGAGACAAGGCACGTCCAGCAGATGGAGCAGTGGAAAACGCTTCTGGACCCGCTGCGACACTCCTTTCTCCCTGCTTAATCGCGATGATGCCACCACTGTATGTGGAGCTTGCTGTAGTAGAGACGCTGGATTCTTGTTATCTTTGGAACAAAATTGTGTGGCAAGTGAAATATGACTGGAATATATTTGGAGAATATTCAATCTTTTACTTTTTTTCTTTAGTAAAGCATTTAAAAAGTTTTTTATACAAATTAGAATACAGTATAATTTCATTTCTCTCATGAATATTAGCTGGTCCCATGGTAACAGTGTGGAAGACTTGTGTTCTTGAAATAATATGAAGACTAATCATGTGTTATGGTTTAAATACCTATATAAACTTGTATTTGAAACTTAAGTAAATATTACTATTTAGTAGTCTGAATGTCACTGATTATTTTACAAATTTGCAAATAGGTAGGTATACTACTTTCTTAAGATACTTGAGAAAAGTTAATACAACTTTTTAGTGACTTTGGTGAGCTGATATTCTCCTTTTCCAAGAATTACGTGAAATTTAGAACTGGTGTGGCCTGAGATTATGAATCATATCTTCAAATACACAAGCAAATCCTCTCAAAAGCTGCCATTTTATAGTGGCGTGTGGACAATTATGGTAACAATAGTAAAATAAAGAGACAGTCTGCCTTCATGGATAAATTTAAAGACTTTACTGGTAATCATTGCTCCAACAAAATAACTTTAAAGTTTACATAGAAGAATGAGCTGCCCATTCTATTGACAGGACAGAGGAGGCTCAAGGAATTTACGTGGTGTATTGCAGTTTCAGGAAAGAGCTGTTCTTGATTCTAGTCTAGTCATTTTCAGTCCTTTTCGCCTTTCCTTGTGTTTTGTTGTACATTTTACTGTAGTGCAGAAATGTGCTTAGTCTGAAGACTCAACTAGCTCTTATTTTGTTATAATTGTTTAGTAATTAAAAAGATACAGCTATACAGCAAACATTTTAAGGAACACAGAGACAAACAAGTTGCCTTTGAAAAATATAATACCAAGTGATCATTTGAATTAAGCATGCTTTCCACTGATTGTACAAATTTCTGAAATCTATATGACTGTTTTCTAAATCATCAGAGAATGTCTGCAGAAAAGGACTTAATTGTACCTCCTGAAAACTATACTTCCTCTTATTCTTGTATTCAAGAAGGCATGAAACTCTATCATAAAATATATAGCTAGCATTCTGAAGGAACTGATTCTACCTTGCCTGTGGCCACACAGATTGAATGATCATGGATTTTTTTTTTATTTGTCTCATTGTAAAGTAGTCTCTTTAATATTGGTAAAACAGTTTCCAAGTAATATGCTGAAAGTTTTATAACACGAAGATCAGACATTTAACAATTTCTTGTCACCATTAGACATGCTATATTCTTTAAATAGGATAATTCTGACACTTTAAAAATCACGTAGTAACAGCAGTGTTAATTTAGTAAAATAGGTTAGAAATGTGTTTATTAAGATTGCTACTTTTGTGATACATGTTTTCTAAGAAAACTAAATATATTTATACTTTCTTATAAATTCAATACAAGGGAAATGTTGGCAAATTGATATATTGATGTAACAATGATAAATTATAGATATTTTGAAATTTTAAAGAGTAATTGTTTAATATTCTCCATTGAATAATGAACTTCATCAGATAATTTCAACTGACTGGTATAGTCATGTGACACTACTGATGTAGAGCTCAAGTCTATAGAGAGGACACATGTGAAAGACATATATGTACATTCCCATGTAGGCAGGATGCATTTGTACTCTTGGTTTTGACAGTGGCGATGGTGTTACACTGAAGAAATTTGGAAAACAGTTTAATCATTACTTTAAATGAATCTTTGAAAAAAGAACAGTGATCAAAAATGGTCTGCTAAGTAATGCACCTATATTTAACCTAAACCTGATAACATTTGCAGCAGTGCCAAAGATTTGAACTTAGTTTTATAAACATTTTATTCCATTTTTGGCATTATTTGTATTTTCATTCCATCTACCCAGGACTTTATTCTGTCATAGCTATATTAGATAATTTCCTTGTAGCATCATGCAATGTAGGTATTGAGTTCATCTTAAATATATTTCAATTGAATTATGCTTTTCAAAACATATAGAATTAAGCATTTAAAAAACATGTGGAAGGATTGATAGAATATGATGAAAGAGTGAGTTTTGTTTTTCTCCATTAATTTATCACCTAAGAGTTAAAAAAGATTTGTCAGTCAGTGAAGATCAAGCAAAAGATGAAACCTTTTATCCTTTAATTTCTGTCTTGTCACCTGCTTGTTTGATTTCTCTTGTAGTGTGAAGTATAACAGAGCATGATTTTTCACTTACATTTTTTAGAAAAAGCATATATATTTAAAGCTTGGTTCTTATTTGGGAGAGAACCCATTATTTTTTATAGGAAAAAGTTTAAGTTTGAACAATACATATAAGAAAGGATTGAAATAAAAAAGAAGATTTAGGTTAGATGAGTACAGTTGTTAAAATGTATTTTGGAATATAAATCTTAGCAGAAATGATGATCTAAAAATGTATTTCAAACATTATTTCCTAATTTGAGTACTACTTTAATTAAGTGTTTAATTGTTAAAGTTGTATTGGGTACAAATATTTTTATTTAAAAACTTTTCATTTCACCCAATACTTCCTCTTATAAAACTTTACCAAGATTATAGTTTAAATATTTATATATTATATGTGCTTTATGATTAACATTTTATGAGAAATATATTTTATGATGTATACAAACATTTTAGCATAAGTACAGTTTTTATATATGATATTTAGGGACAGATCTTACTTCATTGAGTCTCTTAAATTCTTTTTGAATTGTCAGGGCTTTCAGATAGTTTTCCCTGTGTGATTTTAAAAGAGATTACTACTTTAGTTCTACCATATGGGTTTATAGACATTGGCCATAAAAATATGATTGTGTAAACTGTCCTACTATTCACTCAACTAGCATAAACTTACGATAATCTGTAAGTAAAACATATTGTGTGTAATACTTATGATGTTATTTAAGGGCTAAAACCAGTAGACAAGATGACGAAGATCTGCCCTGATAATGGTGAAAAAGTTATCCTCCATTTTTATAGGACCTATTTTTAGAACTTATTACTGAACAAAGGTAAATGGACCAGAAATATTACCAATTTCAATTAATTTTGTGAAAAGTATTTAAGAATCATAAATATGAAGTAAAACATATTTTTCTAATCATTTGCAAGAAGAAGATTTGGAAGGGATGAAGAGGCATAATTAAAAAATAGAAATCCTATAAAGCAATTCAGTGTGTGATATTATTAGAAGTAAACAGTTACCTATTATTCAAGTTACCTGTTACAGCATTTTATGATTTTGATTTTTTTAAAGCACATCTGTACCCAAGATAATTGTTTTATATTCCCCATATGAATATTTCAGAGTGTAAAATATATGACCAATTTTATTAGTTTGTACTTAAACTAATACTCAAGTATTATCCTCCTGGAAAGTCGAAGGACTGAAAGATAGGATATTAAAAGCTTAAATTAATGTTAATTTATATAAACCCCTAAAATATGTCTACTTATTATTTTCTAATAAATGTTATTATATATGCAATTAACATCTTATTCAACTAATTGTGCTTCATAAATTACATTATATACAAAAATCTGCTGCTTTACTAGACTTTTATAATAAATATTGATCATAATTATTGTGTGACCAATATCTTTGATATTAATATCGGGTTTAGAATATTATTGTGCAAAATAACCAAAAAAAACTCACTGCTCTGAGTATAGAGAATTTACTAAAGTGGGGCACCTAGGCATGTAAGATCAGAAAGCATCCATTTGCTACCCTCAATTATCTGACAGTGGGAGAAAGCTAAGAAAGGACAC